AAAAATTAATAATTTATTAAAATTTATGATATGTTTTTTTATGTTCAGGTGTCACGCTATCCAATATGTTAATTTAAAAATTAAAACCCCCCCAAAGTTCAGGTCTAAGTACGCCACTGACTGTTAATATGATGTAATGCTATTGTCTTTATTTAGATAAATTTATATTAATTAACAATTTAGTATATTAATTTGTGAAATTATTCCTGTGAATAATAATTTTACTGTTAAACAACTAATGAAAAAACTGAAATAACCACAAAAATACATACAAAATGATATATAACATAAAGATTGTAAAATAAAAAAATTATTCGGGTTTCGGGTTACAACCAATATTTTATTCGGGTTTTGGTTAATTCGGGTGTTAAAAAAAAAAAAAAATCATTATATGGGGTTATATGGGTTTTGAGTGTTCGATTTTTTAAAGATTTTTAGGGGTGTTACGGTTTCGGGTTAATTCGGGTGCAAAGCCCTGGTTTTATACCACATCATTGATTAAAAACACATGTACATTTAATCAAAGCCTACATACTAATATATTTGTTCATTCGCTGGATGCCCCAATCCCATACTGATGCCACTTAACATCTTGACGTACTCATTTTATAGACCAAATAATATAAATATAAACCTATATATTTTTTTTCAAGTTGATAATTTTTTCATACATTTCTTAAACCGAAAGTCAAAATAAAAATATATTTTTAAAGTGTTCCGACATCCGGATGCCCCCCATGCTGTCCGGGATGCTGCTCGGGACAATTGCCCTTAAAACCCTCCGTCAAATCCCGCACTGTGTGTGTCGCCATAATACAAAGGTCGAGAAACTCTGCTGTAATCAATCAATAGCTATAGGTAAAGGTGTATCTTAGTTATACTTTACTTTCCTCGATAGAAAATTAATAAATCTATATTACAATCAACGTCAAACCATATTTAAGATAATACAATTTAAATTACCTATCTTATTTTCAAAGATAGGCGAGTTAATGAAAATAATTAACTCGAGCTAAGTTAAGAAAACACAATATCGATAAATTAAAAGTTAACAGTTAACAATTCATAAATCATTCAAAACACTATAAGTTAAAAGTTAATAAGAAAAAAAATAGGTATTAACTTAACATAGTTTAAAAAAAGTTAATTTACTTTTTTTAATTGGTATGTAGATCAATTAAAAAGTGACTGCCTTTTTTAGAAAGATATAATTTCCTAAATTATAAAAATAATGTTATTACATTTTTTATTGTAATATACAGTAGTGGCTTCGCAGTTATAAAATTGGCCCGACTTACAAATTTGTGTAGTATTTATCAAAATATTAAATTTTTCAAACCTCTCTGTCACGAAATGTTTTCCTGCGTTCACCCCAGATTATTTTACTTGAGTTATTAAATATTAGCGTCATGGATGGCTGATAATAAATCTAAAGACTGTTAAATAATGTTAACATTTTTTCAGTTCCAAAAAAATCGGCCCATAATGTCAGGCACGGTTTTAGATCCTACGACTGTGATTTCGGGTAAGCTATTGAATGAGGTAAAGTAAAAATATGATTGGTTTCAGTAGTAACCCATCACCATTTTTTATAAATATTAGTATTAGTATTTACAAATACTGTAATTTATAATATTCAGTGTATATAGTTAATGTTATTACCAAAAGATTTATTATATTGTTTTCGAAAAGGTTTCAGTTTATTTTACTATTATCTTCATTATTTTTAATATTAATTTTTTTCTGAAGCTCGCAAAAAAAAAAAAAAAAATAACTACTAATATCATGATATAATTGTTATAAGTTTATATATACATATATATATATATATATATAGTCTATATATTATATAGTAGTGCAGATTAATTAAAATTTTAAATTTATCTTATTTGTATAGATAGTATTTACCAGAAGTTTATAAGTCTATGGTGTGACGTCATAAATGTTATCTAATCTCTTTGTAAATTAAACTTCAACAATCAATTATATGCCAATACTTGTTTCTCCATGAGAAGGTATATACCAAAAATAATTTTTCATGAAATCTTGATAAGAGCGATAAATATTGGCCGTTATTATGATATATTTTTCATTTTAAATAAAAAACATAAATTCTCAAATCAGACGATACGTAATTAAATAATTATGATACTATATCTATCCTCAATCGTACTAATACTTTATAGTGATTATTAGTGATCAATATTTATAATATTAAACTGTTGGAGTAAAAGTTTTCAAGTTACAATTATATCAACAAACTGTAGATGTTACTACTGCTTTTGCATATTATATGTATATACATCATTAACATATTAATTAATATTAATGGAATATAACTAATCTATGAGTAAACATCAAATTAATTAGCTACATCTATACAGCAAGAAAGTCTTAATTTTTCTAGTTATATTTTTTTTAAATCTATTTTGACGCATTTGTGAGCTGTATTTTAAAAGATTTGTTTAAAATTCAAATATACTTGTGGTCTAGTTAAATGTTTATTAATAGTGTACCTTTATAATTATTATTTTATTGATAAATAATTTATATTGTTTGTGTATATATATATATAAATATATGTAAGTAAATACAATTTTGGATTTATACTCTAAAATGGTTGATATTAATGAAGAAACTTTTCCATATGAAAAAACTTTGTTGAACACTATTGTAAAAAACACTAAAGAGACTAAGGTAAACAAATGTAATTTTATTTAAAATTATGATTAGGGCTCGGAAGATGTTGCATTTGCATGTTTTTATTGGGTTATTCAATTTATTGCTAAGTCAGCTTAAAATTATTTTCGTTATACTACAAAAAATACATTAAAAGTTTATAGTGTATATTTTTGCATGTTTAGTGGTTTAGCAATTTTAAGCACATATTTCTTAATTATGCCATTTTTTAGAGCATATTTTATGATTATTGATGAATTGATAATAACATATAAAAATGTCAGCTATAATAAAATATTTATTTTGAGAGTTTTCATTAAATATTGTACTTATCATGATTCTCAAATACCAGGTTGATACAAAATTCCAGTTTTATTTATACTTAACCATAACAATTTAATGATTATTGTTGATTGTATTAATTGAATAATCGGCGATTTCTTAACTTTTGAAAACATTAAAAAATGTTTAGTGGTTTAATGCAATAGTTCTGCAGGTAAAAACAAAATGTATTTCTTAATTATGATTTGAGTTCTAAGTATTTTTTTTAATTTTTATTTATGCTTTACAGATATATATAATTTAATTGGAACATTTTGAAAGAAAATTTCAAATTTCAAGCTAATTATTTTATTTTATTTTATCATATATTTTATACCTAAAAATTATGTTTAGCTTAGTATAATATACTAATAATATTTGTACTGTTGTTATGTACGAGTATATTTAGCAAAATATATTTATGAAAATTTAAGTGTTAAAAAAAATTAAATGCATATTTAGTCCTTTTTAAATGCATTAAGTTACAAGCCCTATTTATGATTATACCTATTTTATACTATTATTGAATAAATATAACATAATAGATAATACTTATTTTATGGATTAAGTGTAATTTATAATTATTTATCCTATTATCTATTTTAGTATATGATATTAGAGTTGTAGAATAAGTGCAAACCATATAATTTACTTATGATTAACCATTAAAATTAAATTTAAATTATAGCATCCAGAAATAAGTGATTTCAATGTAATAAAACCAATTAGCAGAGGAGCTTATGGGTGAGTAAAATTTTGTTCTTAGAAACAAAACTGATATCTTAATATATATAATTTTTGGCATTTCAACATTTCTCCTTGAAATATAATTTATTACAATTAAAATATTCTCTTAATAAAAAATTTCCCCTTATGAGGTAAATTCATTGGTAATTATTTGGTTAAATTAAGTTTATTGCCAAATTATGGTGTTTTAGATTCATTTATTTTAATTTGTGTAAGAGTATATATAATACAACAAAATTATAATAATCAATATTAAGACATAAAAGAAAAATTGACTATTTGGAACTTCTTTTACATATTTTAAATATTTAATAATACAGTTCAGTTGTATCCTAGTATTTTTAAATAGTTAGAATTTTATATCTAATTAATTCTATCCATAAACATATTAAAATTTCTTATTTGTTAATTTTAATATTAAGTCTAAATTCCTTGCATTATTATATTAGGGGTTAAAATTATTTATTTTATGTATTTAAACTAAATAAATCTAAATATTTTCTATTCAACATATAAATAGTATTTTTTGAAACTATATTGTAGCTGTTGCCAATATAAATATAGCTAAATATTTTAATCTTAAAATATTTTTGAATTATTTTATGAACAAAATTTATTTTATTTTTTGGGTATATTTATCATTTTTAATATTCTTTTGTTGTGTATCATTCTGATAAAACATAAAACTACTCAATAAATGTTTGATTTACTTGAAATTAAAAGCATAAAAATATAAAGAATTCTAAGTGCCTGGAATTATATTTATTTAATTTTTGATTTTAGTAAAGTGTACTTGGGCCATAAGAAAAACAAATTGGATCAAATGTATGCTATTAAAGTTATGAAAAAAACTGACATGATTAATAAAAATATGATTACACAAGGTATTTTTTTCATGTTTACCAAACATTACCTAATCATATTTTTATAGTAATTAATTATTATTAATTTTAGTTGTTAACGAAAGAAATGCCTTGGCATTAGCTAACAGCCCATTTTGTGTCAAATTGTTTTATTCACTACAGACTTCAAGTTCTATTTATTTGGTAATTTAAAATGATATTTGTTTATTTATACATATAAAACAAATTTAAAATTGCATTAAAAATATTAATTTCTTGATGAAAATATGCTTTATATTTTTTCTTATTATTCTTTATATTCTTCTAAAAATGAAATACTGGATTAAATTTTTAGTTTGAAAGTAGTAAAAACTAGAAGTCATTTTTGATGAAATTTGAATATAATTTTTATTATTTAAGGTCATGGAATACATGGTTGGTGGTGATGTTAAATCATTGCTGAATGCCATGGGATATTTTCCTGAAGATGTAGCAACATTTTATATTGCTGAAGTTGCATTAGCTTTACAGTATCTCCACAGGTAGATAACTTAATATGTATTATTTATAATACTGAGGGTTAGATATTTTAATGTTTTTTAAATAACATTTAAAGTAATTGTCATAATTTAATAAGTTTGTAAATGGTTAGATCAAGTAATATTTTGTTTAACAAAATACATAAATATATAATTTATAAATATCCTGGTTTTTAACATTTTTAGCAACTTTGAAAATTTTAAAAATGTACCTGTTAATAAACCTTAAAAAGTTAATTAACTTCTTAATAATATTACTATACATTTATTTTTGTTAGACTTCATGCATTCATTTTAATATTTCTTTAACCGCCAAATAAAATAAATGTAGCTAAGTAAATGTGCGCCTTTATAGATTTATACTATCGATATTTTTATTTTATTAATGAAATTGGATTAAAATTATTAAAAAAAAATTGCTTGACTAAAAAATAAATAAAATACAATAATTCATTCTTTATCAATCTTTAGAAAGAAGTCTTTAAATAAGGTCTTTAAATGAACTAACCAGTTGAGGTTATACATAATATGTTCAACCTAATTTATATAATATTGTAAATCATAAATGAGGAACAAAAATATGAAACTTACATGTAATTATGTAGGATTTACTTAAAAACATCTCGAGTGGTAGGTTACTGAGTTATAGTGTTAGTATCTTACATAATAATTACTTTATTTAGTTTGAAGTGATGTAGAATTCTAATAGAGACTTATTACAGGAATAACTATTCATTAAATTGTATTTTTAATTATTTTTTTCAGTCATGGTATTGTACATAGGGATTTAAAACCTGACAATATGTTAATATCTGGGCAAGGCCATATAAAATTAACAGATTTTGGTCTTAGTCGTATTACAATTCATCGAGGTAAAATTGCTTTCTATTTATTTTAATTAAATGTTTTAATAATTTTTTTTATAATTTATAGATTTAGAAATAACAGATTTGTTAAATAACTCTCCTAATGTTAATACCAGAACTCCTGGCCAATTACTTTCTTTAACATCACATTTTTCATTTGTAAGTTACAATAGCATTATATAATAATTATTTAATATTTTTGGTCTTCAAAAAAATAGTTAAGTTATAATTTATTCAATAAAAGTTTTTTTTCCTATAGGGGTCAAATGAAAAAACTCATGTCAGTGGTTTTAGTATGGGCTTTAATATGGATTTAGATGAAGATGATTATAATAGTAGTCATGTTTCTGGAATAGTACCATTTCAATCAGCAAATAATACTTTAGAAGGAACTACATTTTATACTTGTCAGAATTGCAGTTCTTCTACAGACTGTGAATGTAGTGTAATAAAGGATAAATTTTATGATACCCCGTGTTCCACCAAAAATTTAAGGTTTCTATGTAATTAATATGATTAAGAGTCATTTTTTAAATCTTGTTTTGTAATTCTTTTTAAATAATTGATTTATTTTTTTAAAACTTATATAATTTTTTATTTTTATAATAAGTTTGATTTTTTGTGAAAATAATTTTTTTAACCAACAATACTTACAATATTAAATGTTATAATCAACAAATTATTGTTTAGTATTATATTAGATTTAAATACTAGAATATATTTTAATTTTAGCAAAAGATTTAAAACATCGGGAACAGAGTCTTTGAAACGATATAAGCGGAGAATATTACCACTTAGAGATTTAGAAAGTAATACATTGAATAGTTGTGGTTTGACTCAACAAATCAAACAAGTAGATTTATCAAATGTTGGATCAAATATCTCAAACTCAGCTGTTAAAAGTGTTTTGAAACTGAAGTGAGATGAAGTTAATTTTATTACGAATAAAAATAATTAAAATGTTTTCTTAGAGCTGAAGAACGATTAAGTAGTGGTCGTGTTGCTATATCAACTCCAGTACAATGTTCTCGTAAACGTTCATACGGAGATACTCCTATAACTTTGAAAACTACAAGATTTTGTTTGCCTACACCTACACAATCTCCATCTTTTTTAAAAGGCGCTCATATGGTTAATTATTATAACACCTAAATACTATATTCAGTTTACATTTTCTTTATAATTCTTTGTTAATCTTAGGATGAATTAATTATGAGTCCAATCGCTACTCCATATCTACCAAAATTAACTCCATATCGAACTCCTAAGTCATTAAGAAAAGGAAAAAGAGCTAGTGATGGTAGAATTTTAGGTACACCTTATTATTTAGCTCCAGAATTGATTCAAGGGATAGAACACGGTAATCATATTAATTATTTAAATTGTATAGTAAAATTACTAATTATAAAATAATTGTGTTATATAGGATCTGGTGTTGATTGGTGGGCATTAGGTGTTTGTCTTTATGAATTTATGACAGGAGTTGTTCCATTTGAAGGTGATACTGTACAAGAGATATTTGAAGACATCCTAAGACGCGGTAAACCCTTTATCTTTTATTTTATCTGGTACTCTTTAGAATATAAATCTTATTTTATAGAATTAGAATGGCCATCTGGAGACCAGACATTGTCTAAAGAAGCAATGGAAGCAATTGATGGTTTGATGGCTATAAATCAAAATGAAAGATTTTCAGGTTCAGATTTAAGATCATCAACTGAATTATTTTCTAAAATTGATTGGGACAATCTTTTAAATGAAGTACCTCCATTTGTGCCAAATCCTGTTAGCATTGATGATACATCGTATTTTATGGCACGAAATGAACAACAACATATACAATTATCAAATATAGATCTAGGATAAATCAACAAATTTTTTTTTTTATGGAACTATTCAATAATGAAGTTTTATTTTAAAATACCTTTTATATTTTTTCAAATTTACTTTAATTGTAGAAACCTAATGCAATGTTATTTTTTTTGTATCAACACTCCTCGTTTGTATGATAATAATATATATATAAAAAAAAAAAAAAATTATTAGGCTGATAAAATATTGTTTTAATACATAATTAATATAATAAATCTTTATACTTTAATTCTAAAATAACTTGTTTCTCTAAACAAATTAGTAAATATTTGTATTTTACATAATAAAAAAAAAGATTAGATTTCTATATTATAACACACATATGTACATATTTTATACATGACTCATTGATTTTAAAAATTAAATTATAATTTAATGAATAATATGTAATAGTTTGTATTAAATCAATAAAAGCCATATCAAATTTTTAAATTGTATTATTATGTCTTGATACTTAATTATCAAGAAGTTTGTCAAAAATTTCATCAGTAGTTAATATTTTTGCTGTTGCATATTGAGAGCCAAGTAATTTCATTACTTCACCATGCTTTGATAAAGGATTTTCTCTTTTCACTCTGCCATAATTTTCTTTAACATATAAAGCAAATCTTGATGGTTTCTTGACAGGTTTTGGTGTAGATTGTATGTCATTTAAATTGTATAATTGTTTCAATGGATCTGTGTACATATCTGGTAAATTATTAATAGTCTTGTGATTATTAGCTTTATTTACAATTAATTCAAATTCTCCATAGCAATATCCACATCTTTTTCTTTCTATGTTTAATGATTTTGAATGACGTCCAATACTGAAAAATTTATTTTTTATTTAAATTTACAATTAACAACACAGTTAACTTACTATTATCCATAGTTTTTTACAGAAATATTATTTTAAGAAATACAAATTATGTATATGCAAGATTGTCATTTATGCAATCTACATTACTTAAGTCATTTTAGATGATTTGAACAATTATCATAAAAATGTTGGAAAATGTGAGAATGATTAAGAAGTTCTTTTTATTCATGATTTGACTACTATACTATACAAAATCTATTGGAGACGATAATAATGACTAAGATAAAGTATGGAGGATAAATTATGATGCCTATGACTCAGGGTTTGAAAATCTGACTGATGAACAAATAGTTAACAAGGTAATAGTACTTATTCAGAATAAATGCAATTTTTTGTGACAAAGTGTTATCAAAGAATCTTCAGATATAAATAAAAGTGTTTCAATACAAAAAAACAAAGGAAATTACAGATATTTATACAAGAAAATAAATAATAATAATAATGTACTTATTTGTTAAAATCACTTTTGGTGTTAATTTTTGGGCTATTTCACAGATTGTCTACATCACTTAATTTTATTAAGGTTAATTGAGAATTTATTGTAGCCTAAAAAAGTAAAATTTCAAAGTATACAATAGAACCTCTAACTCAAATTGGTCCTGGGGGAAAAAAAATTGAGTAATCAAAAATATTTTATTATAAAACATAAAGACTCTATTTGATAATTGCATTCATTTACTTACATCATATTTAATATATGTATTAATTTTTAAAAAAGTATTCTATAGTAACATAAATATGTAAATAAAGAAAATTTTTGGAAGAAATTACATATTTTTGATTGGTATAACAAGGATGTATCTTCTAAGTTTTCAATTATGTTGAGTGTGGAAAAATCTCATCTAGAATTTCTGGTTATTCATGAATATATTTATATAGTACCTGTAAACCATCTAATGCCTAGGCAAGAGTAGTTAAAGGCAAAGGCAATTTCACATCATCATCAACAGGGCTAGGATTTGTATGCAACAGCATGTTTCTTTTGCGACTTCTAATTATTAATTTTGTCAATAATGTCCACGTAAATGTATCACACATAACATGTATTGACATTTGACCAAGGCATTTTTGCAAGTTATTATAATACATTATAATCGAGTTATAATTCGACTAATCAAGGTTCCACTATATGTATAAATGTTACAAGTAATGAAATGTGTAATTCACCATTTATACCAAAAATATAAAAATCCATAAAATATAACTCATATTAGAACCCTGACTCTTTTGTGAAAATATTTAATCTCTTACCTATAGCCACACTTAATACATTTATATGTAAATTTTGTTTGTATTTCATAGCTATGGCATCTTTTAATAATTGGAAGTTCTGGAAACTTTTTCATAGCTTTATTTGCCCAGCGTTTCCATGATGGTCCATGCCCTTCAGAAATGCCATTAAATATCCAGCAAGCAGCATGACAAAGTTCATGAATTAATGTATCTCTTAATCTTTCAGCTGTATCAATAATCTATAAAAACAAAAAGTAATTTTATATTATATTATTTAGTATCAAATATGGGAACAAATAATTTGTTAAAAATAAAATACGGTTCGCAGACGTTTCGTCCCTGTCAAAAAAATGAATCCATGGACGTTTCATCACCAACTATTACTAAGATAGGACATTTGGCCCAAGGGAATTATATAAATTAATTTATACACAATTATTTATATTAGATCACTTAAAATATCATTAATATTACTACATTTAAATTCAATACAATGTAGTTTTATTTTATCTTCGTAATGATTTTTTTTTGCAAATTTATGATTTAATTTTTTCGCGGTTAACAATTCCATAATTCACTGATGTACGTACAATTACACTAATAAACTAGTACTGTGGAGTGTGCTCTGTGTATATACTATTATAGTATTCAGAGCAAGTATAAAATATTATTTAGTCTTTACAATACAAATAGAAAAAGTTAATAACATTTTTCTACTGCCTGACAAATAAATAATAATCGTGCAATATCACCAATCAATAAGAAGACCTTCGATTAAGATAAATATCTATCGATAATGTCATAAAGGTAAAAAAGTGTCCGTAAAATTGTTAATTTGTTAGTTTACTTACCTATATTATTTTTTTGAGTTGATTAATTTAGAACATAACCCAACCTAATCGGAGGTCAAACGTTCTATCTTAATAATATACGGGGACGAAACATCCGCAAACCATAAAATACTATAATATTGAAAATCACTTTAGAAGAAAGTTCAATGCGAGAAATTCTTTCGCAGTCTAAATTTTCATTTATCTTAACCAAACGCTTATTGAAACAAGCACCTGCTGTTGACCTTAATCGTGCATTCCATTTGAAATTCATATCAGCTGGAAGCTAGTGAATAGTGAATCAATTAGTACATGAAATATAATGTGACTGCTTTAAAGACTAAATTAAAGTAAAAATAATATTCAATTCTAATATGTTTGCACAATTACAATTATACAATAATAAATTTTACAACATAATTTTTATAATTTTTTAAAAAAAAACTGATTTAAAAAATCAGTTAAACTAAATTTTGAGGATTAAAACATTTGTATATTTGCATAACAGTAATTTGTTTTAGATGAAAATTTTAATTTAGATTTTCGACTTAATGTTTAGTAAAACAATTGATTTAAGCAGTGGCATAGATACAATTTTTTTCTGAGGGGGGGGGGTGTTTAAAAGTAAGTTTTTAAGTGTTCTTAGTATATCTTAAAACGAGGTCATATGTAATAATATTACATTTAAAATGGTACTATTATTATGTTCCATATTTAATGAAAATTATTTTTTTACTCAATTTTTAATATATACCTAATCATAGTAAAATCAAAATATTTTAATATAATATGTAAATATTAAAAAATAATAATCAAATATCAATAAAAAAAAAATCTATGTGTGTGTGTAGGGGGGTGAAAATTTCTTACACCCTCCCTGTAACTACGCCACTGAATTTAAGAATAAACATTGAATTTTTTTATTAATTGAACAATTAAAGATAATAATTTGGATATTAAACTAATAAATGAGACTCATTATGAGCAACCACATAAAATAAATCAAAATAAGTATTATATTCTTTCATGTTGAGATTTACTTTCTATAGTTGAGTATACAATTTTTAATAAAATTGATATTTGGTAAATACTAAAAAGATAAGAATATTAAATTAAAACTTATTTAATATAAAACAAATAAATAAGATTAAACTAATTATGATATTTTTGTAACGATAGAAATGTAATTTACCTTATTGTCAAATATTTCTTTATTGAATAATTTAAATAATACAGAAACTAAATCATCTTTATTTTTTTTAAATTTAATTTTGTATTTTTCAGCTGCAGGGTCACATTTCATTGACCCAGTAAAACCTGAAATTAATTTATACAATATAATATTAAAAACATTTAATATTGAATAACATCATGTGTATTTTTTATTTATATATCATGTTTACCAAATTTTGACCAGAAGGCCATGCTGTGATAATTAAAAAGATAGATAGTTTTCAGATAAAAATTTTGTTTAGTTCATACTTTTTGTTGGTTTTTTTAAATTTTTTAATAATTAAGAACCAGGAATAAAAAATCCAGACTATATTAACTTTTATTTCACGGTTCTAATAAAAAATTATTTTAAGTTTGACATTTTTATTGAATAAACATATTACTATTCTCTAGAAATGATATGACTTTGAAAAGATTTAGATTTTATTGTGTTTTTCATAGACATTTAAATATATATATTTTTTTTTTAATTTTGAATTGGTAATAATTTGTTAACATTTTTATTTTTAGGTTTTAATACAAGGAATTGTTATCCAAGACTCATCATAATTAGATTTTACTTCCACAATATAAAATATCGAAATAAGCAACTACATATTTTTTTATACGATTCTGAATAAAACGTTTATACCATAGTATGTTATACAGGTGGTATTATAGGTATATAAGTATTATAAGTAGTTACTGTTAGGAAATGTTTAGTTGGTACTTTAAAAAGGGATCACTTAATAAATTATCTAACAGTTTTCTTAATAATAACAAAAAATTAACAAAAACCCAACAAAATATACTGCATACTGATAGCAAATTTTAATTCTACAACTCAAAAATTAATAATTGTAGAGAATTCACATATTAATTAAATTTTTAATCATCGTACACTATATATAATGTAATTTTCAAATACATTTTTTTTTTTTGAGCTTTCAAAAGTTATTTGAAATGTTAGGTTTTCATAGCTTTTTTCTTTAAAATTACAATAAAATTATTTTAGTTTGATAAAAGTCATGAACATTTAATTCAAGGTTTATCATACAAATCTCTTATTGGTAATTAAAAAAAAATTGAGTATTTAAATATTAAATGTTGACAAAATAACAAAAGTCTGTCACAATTTTATAGTTAAAAATGCATACACATTTTACATATAGTTTGAAAACAAGGGGGTAAGACATAATACATTTATTTGAATACTTACATGATAAAGAACTCAAAAAAGAAAGCTTAGCTTCTATATAAGAACATTGTTTATCATCATCTTCAGTAAATGTGTTGGATTTGCTATAAAAAAATTGAAAGAGAGTATTAAAGAAATTTTAAAAATATAAATATAACACTTATTATGATTGAGTACTTACTTAAAGTTAATTTTATAACTAGTTACAGCAGTAGAATCAATATTTATTTTTTTATTTGTTAAATAATCTGAATCATTTGATAAACTGATATTCCTTTAAAAAATAGAGAAGGAATAAATAAATAAAGGTCACATAAAAATTTACTCTTGGAGAAAACAGAAGAGAAAGTTAATTACTATTTAATCACAGAATTTGATACTTCCTATACATCATAGTGATTAAATAATTATTTTTGTAATAACAAAAATAGTTTCTTAAAAATTATAACCTATAAATTTTCACAAATTAATTTAGGACATCCATAAAAATTTAAATTACTCATAATATACTATTTCACTATTAATACTCAAGTAATTTTAAATTATTCTCAGTAAATTTTTCAATAGGAACCTACTTAGAACAACATCATTTAAGGGTGGAAAATATTTTAAAATATTTCATTCATAAAAAAAAAAAAAATCTATAACAAATACTTAACTAATAAATATAATGCCATATTTATTGATACAATTATTAAAAATTATAAATTTAATGATTATTTACATATTTCGGTAACAATACCTAAACTGGTCTCATAAATTAGTAATTTTACAAGACCAGCTAATTGTATCTTCATCGTAAATAACCTCAATAATGTTACAATATGCGATGATAGCAAATAACTAATATAAAACTAAATAATAATTAGTATTCAATTTATAATAATATGTTTTTTTTATAAGTTGTAGTTATAATAATAATATATTATGCATACACAAATCAGTTCTTAATTGTGGTAGTTAAAAGTTTTTTTAAATTTTTTAGTGCATTTTTTTTGATATTATAGCATTTTTAAGGCATTAAGTTATATTTTTTTAGGACATTTTACTTATTTTTTTATAGCATTAAAATTCATTCCCTAATGACAAAACAAACAATTATCTTTGTAAGTTTTTTTAAAAATTGATGGATAGCCATCAAAATTTGTTTAAGGTATTCAGTAGACTGTTCATAAACTACAAAATTTTAAATAGATTTAGATACTTATTCATATTAAACTTAAAATATTTACTTATTTTTTTATAATAGGAATGACACATTTTTAGCGCCTATATCCATAAAAAAAGTTAAATTTGTCTTTGAATATTCTACTAAAAAACTTACTCTAAAATTATTGAAGTATTATTGACTTCATTTTCGATATCCTTTTTATGAAGATTGTTAGAAGTTTTTGAAGGAATTTCAGGAGATACTGAAAGATAAAAAAAAACTTGATTTATTTTAACAAATTAATGAGTAGATAATAAATATATTTGTGATACATATAATTTAATTAAGATTAAATTAAAAATTCCATTGTTGAAGAAAACAAATAAAATTGAATTCCATAATTATTTAAATAATGTTTAAAATAAATTATGTAAGAAACCAAATTAACCAAGTAATAGTTGATTCACAAATTAAGTCTTGTGTAAGGGATGTAAAAAGCATGAGTGGGAGTAGCTATGCTGGATAATTTCCTTTTAAGAGCGAATATAATATCAACTGAATGGTGAAAGAAACTGAAATACAAAGAAAAAATAAATAGAGATGCACTGAAAACAACAAAAGTTAAAGTATATCAAAAAAAGTAAATGTCAAAATTACAGAATATACAAGACCAAATATAAGTGAAACATGGAAAGAAATAAAACAAACAGTAAAAACCATAGCTGAAGAAGTATTTTGGGTACATATAAGGAAAAACAAAGAAAATATGGTCAACGAAGAATATAAAAGAGCTTTACATGAAAAAGATAGTTTGCATAAAAATTTTTCATGAACCCAATGAAGATAACAAAAGACTGTTAGCACTTAAACAAAGATAAATAAAAAATTTGATTAGATTGAATAAGAGACTGTGGAAAAAAGAACGTATACAAACTATAGAAAATAATAGAAAAAGACATTCAAAAATTTTTTTTGGAAAAGCAAATGAAGTAAACATAGTTACAAGTCCAGACCAATGGTTATAAAATAAAGTGATGGAACCCTTCTAACAAGCAACAAAGAAATTGCATACGAATTTAAAGATATGTTTACAAAGTTTTTAAACCAGCCAAGAATTAGACTTACTGTAAATAAGCTAACGACAGTAGAATAGCTATTCGAAAACCCATCAAAAAGGAAGTAGAAACGAAATTAAATATGCTTAAGAATAATAAAGCACCAGGTAAAGATAAAATAGCATCAGAATATTTAAAAATGGATGGTCCATGTTTACTGAATCAACTACATAAATTAATTAACATAATCTGAAAACGAGAAGAAATACCCGAATAGTGGCGAGTATCTGTCATATGACCTGTTTTTAAAAAGGGAGATATCATGGAGTGTAAAAATTATATAAGATTCTGTCTAATGTATTTCTAATCAGAATCAATCCATATATCAAAGAAATAATAGGAGAATATTTAAATGGATTCATGATAAGGAGATCAACAGTGAATCAAATTCAAATAGTTAAACATTTAGCGGAGAAGTCATGAGTTCAATAAAGATGTATATCTTATGTTCATAGATTACAAAGCGGCATAAAAATTTGATTCTTCTTCTTCTTCTAAGGTGTCTTAAAGACCATTAAGGTCCATTGCAGCAACAGCAACATGTCTTTCCACTTTTCTCTGTCTCTTGACACTTCCTCCGCATTATCCATTCTAATCAACTTGAGGTCATCATTGACTCTATCAGCCCACAATTGTCTGAGTCTCCCTCGGGGCCGTTTGTATTTGGTTTCCATTTTGTTATGATCCCAAGTACTACTTCATATCTCCATACATGATTGGCCAATCTTATTCTGTCACTCTTCATAACTCCTACGATGTCGACTTTTCCAAATAATTCTCTTAACTCTTTATTTGTCTTAATATCAAAATCACCTTCTTCATTCTTTTTTAGTTCAAAATTTTTCAAAGTATTTTCCTTTCCAAAAAACCCAATTTCTTCTCATCCATTTTTGTGGTTGCCCACGTCTCACACGCGTATAATTCTATAGGTCTAATTAAAACTTTGTACCATGTTGATCTTTTTGATAGTAATTTTGACTTGAATAGTGTTGATAGTCTAAAAAAAACTTCTATTTTCTGCTATCAATTTTTTTTCTTATTTCTTCCTGACTATTTGCGTTTGCGTTCACCCAAACTCCAAGGTATTTGAAGTACCCTATTCTTTCAAATAAAAAACCTTCTATTTCTATTTGTCTTTCCGTGTGATATTGTCTAGATAGTATTAGATATTTTGTTTTATTTTCATTTATGTAAAGTCTGATTTCTTTCCCTGCCCATATTAGTTCTTTTGTGGATTGTTTCAGACTCTCCTTATTTTCTGCTGTAATCGCTAGATCATCAGAATATGCTATAATTGTAAGCTATTGGTCCTCACTAAGTTTTGTTCCTTCCGCCTTACTAAGAACCTGTCTCACCACTGACTCTAAGGTAATGTTAAACAGAGCTGGTGATAACGCGTCTCCTTATTTGAGACCTGTCGACATCAGGAATTCATTTGAGTAAGTTTTTCCAAAACTCACCTTGCATATAGAGCATTGTAAGCACACTTTGATTATCCATTAGTTTTTCTGGTATCTCTAAATGGAACATTACGTTCCACAGTTTTATTTCTATCCACCGAGTGGTATGCTGCTTTAAAGTCCACCAATAACATATGTACATCTTTATTCAATTCATGACTTTTTTCTGCAACTTGTTTTATTATGTGAATTTGATCTATAATCGATTTATCTACCATGAAACCTGCCTGGTATTCTCAAATGATTTCTTTAATAAATGGTTTCATTCTGTTTAGTAAGAAGTTAGATAATATTTTGTACACCAGGCATAAAACGAACATCCTCCATGATTCTGGAATTTCTTCCTGCTCCCAAATATCGGTGATGAGTTTATGCATTTTTTAAGTCAACTTCTTTTCTTCTTTTTTAAGGCATTCAGAAACAACTTCGTTAATCCCAGTGGCCTTTTCTTTTTTCAGCATTTCTATTCCTCTTTTTATTTCTTGTATCGGTTTGTCCAATAATTCTTCCACTGTTGCATTAACTTCTACTGTGGCCCCATTTCCTGGTTGATTCAACATTTCTTCAAACATATTTTTAAATTCGTTCCCTATTTTTCCTTTATCCGTTACGATAGTTCCATCATCCTTTCTTATCATAGTTGTTTTCGGCATGTAACCTGTTTTTACATTTTTCACTTTTTCAAAAAAAGCTTTTATTTTATTTTTTTGTTATTGTTGTTTTCTATTTCTATAATTCTTTATTTTTCCCATTGTATATTTGTTTTCGTTACTTGTGTTCTGAATCACCTTCAGACATGTTTTATCCCTTATATCTAAGGTTTTTTTTTGCAATTTTCATCAAACCATATTTTCCTCTTTATACATTGTGTGTTTCCCAATATTCTTTCAGATGTATCTTTAATTACTTGCGTTATTTTTTTGCAGGTGTCATTTATGCCTGCTCTTGGCTTATTAGCTGCATTTCTTCATTTAATCTTTCCTGTTACACTTTTATTATTTTAGTTTTCAATATGCCTCTGTTAATTCTTTTTTTCCCTGCATTTCTTCTCTGTTTTTCCATTGATATACTAAAGTATATCTTAACTCTTATAAGGAAGTGATCGGATATTGCACTACAACTTCTCATGCTTCTTACATATATGACATTTGATCTTATCTGTGTATTTATAAGTACATGGTCTATATGGCAATATTGTGCTACTTATGACTATATTTTTGTTTGATGCAAATATAACAAGTATATTATCATTTTTGTTAGTTTCTCTGTGTAAGCTCTCCTTACTAATTGTCGGTCTAAACATTTTCTCCCTACCTATTTTTGCGTTGAAATCTCCTATTACTATTTTTGGTTTCCAGTTTTGTAGACTATCTTATAGCATTTTCAACTCATCTAAAAAGGCATTTTTGATGTCATCGTTTTTGTCCTCCGTTGGTGCGTAACAATTAATCATGATCACATTGTAACACTTACACTTAATCTCTAAGATGCATAATCGATCGTTTATTGGTTTGAAATTTACTATACTCGACATAAATTTATCTCTCAGTATGAAGCTTACTCCTCTTTCGTGTTTCTTCCCACCACTATATAAAATTGTCATCCTTTGAGATGTGATACTTCCCGAGTCTTCTCATCTCATTTCTTGAATCGCAGTAATATCAAACTTATATCTTCAAGGCAAAATATAGTTATCGCCAAAGTTCCGGGCCTATATAGAGATCTCACGTTCCAGGTTCCAATTGTTAAATCCGATAGCTCAAATTTCCAAGGCATTTGATGATGTTGATTTGTAATCGGTATGTTTTCCGTTTAACGTTAGATACGATTCGATTAATAGAGAAAAACTATGGAATGTCATGAACCAAATGGGAATTACCAGCAAAATTAGTCAGAATGATAAAAATATGTACATATGAATCCAAAAGTAAAGTAAGTTTTGGAGAAGAGATATCAAATAAGTTCACAGTAACGACAGCACTCAGTAGCTTTCACTGACTATAGTCCTTATAGCTGAAACAGAAAATGAACTGAGAAATACAACAAGCATCCTACTAAATGAAAGTAAAAAGATTGGTTTAAAAATAAATTGAGTCAAAAACCAAATATATAATACATCCAAGACAAAATTATAATACTAATTAATTAAAAATTGATGAATACAAATTTGAAAGGGTTTACAAATTTAAAACTCACTTCTCAAATACTCTTTCATAAAAAAATCAAGATCAACCACTTCACTTTATGCATTAAATATAATATTTTATAGCCCAGAATTTAAGATCTCATAAATGTATAACTAAGATGCATAGAAATCAAACACTACAGTTGACTGGTACCAATAATTTCTTTGTACATTAGAACAGTTGATTTTTTTACTTATATATAGGTTATAAATTGTTCAACATAAAAATGTTTAGATACTTATTGAAAATAAAATATATTATTATTTGTCTTTATACACTACTTTAAATTATGAAAAAAACCTCAAATTGATAGTTAATCTTATATATTACATTATAAATTTACCAATGATATTAACAAAGATTTTTTATTTTTGACTTATAAAAAACAAATCATTACAACTAAACATGATAATAAAATATTAATTTTTATTTAAATTATAATTTAAAAAAATAATTAATTACTTACCAATTTTAATTTCATTATAATTTTTATTAGAGACATTTTCATCATTCAATCTAAAAATTAAATAAATATTAAATATACAAAAACACCAATAAAATGGTTAGTTTTATGAAGATTACATTTTTAATATTTGTACCATTGTAATTTTCATATATGGATATCTTAAGCGGATACAAATAATGGACAATCAGCTATTTTAAAATAATTATTACCATTAGTTTTTTTTTTAATTATAATTATTTATTATTTTATTTTTATGTATAAAAAATATATTAAAAAGATAACAGTCATGATGAATATAAATGTAATGGTTAATAACTATTTTACATACTCTAATATAAGTAATCCATAACATATCAGGCAGGCTTCTACCAAAACCTGTCAGTTTATATCATATATAAAAGGAAAATAAACTAAAACGTCCTACTACTACTGAAAGGGTTAAAACCGAGTGTATACTTGATATAAATATAAAATTTTAACATTTATTTAAATAATACTTACTCATCAAAATGTTTATTCAAATGTTTTTTGTCAGTAACTTTTATTACTCCATCAATGTGTCGCCACTCATATCCATATATACGATCTAATAGCTTTGCTGATTCTGAGAGGTCACTAGTTTGATTATTTTTTACTTTAGGTGTAGTATAATTATTTTGAAATTCAGAGTTTATATCTTCTACATGATTAAATGCATAATTTGTATCATTGCATTCTAGTTTAGAAAAATTTTGAATAGAATCAGATAATGAAATTTCAGAATTAATACTATTAATAAGTTTTACAGGTGACGTATCAACATTTGTAAGGTCTTGATAGTTATTATTAGGGCTAAAAAGTAAATTTGTAGCTGATTTGAAACTTTCATTAGAACTCATTTCATTCCTTGATGAATTGCTATTAAAAACTATTAAAGAATCCTTTTTTTTATTTTTTTTTATTTTAATATCTTCAAATCCGAGATATGATTCATTAGTTAAATCAATTGTATCAAGCATAACATGCTTTGAGTTATTTTTAGAATTTATTTTGGTTTTCAATTTTGGTTTCAATGTATCAAATAGTTCTAAACTAGAATCAGTAAAAATATCATTTTCTTTGTCAGACATATTTTCTATAGATTCATTCATTTTCTTGCCAAGTTTTAATTTATGCACTGTAAAACAAAAATTAAGTAGTTGAGTATCTTTAAAAACTAATTTTAATTTTTTTTTTTTTTCATAGGTAGATAATAAAAACATTTTAAACTTAAGTATCAAAAAACAATATTGATTCATAAATAAGTAATGCTAATGTGTAGTAATGTAAGAAATACAAGTATAAAAAACATTTTATATATTTTTTTTAAATAACTTATTAATGTACAAATAGTTAAACTAAATATAAGTATCGCTATGCTAATTTATTAAAATTAAAAATGTATTTGTAATAATTAAATTTGATAAAAATAAAAATTGTTTTTCCATTTTAAAAATGAACAAATATAGTATCATATCAATAGTGAAATTTATTTTTTGTGTGTTTAGTAACTCCTTTTCAATATAAAATGAGAAATGAAGTTTTAAATTACATTTTTATTTATACTGCCCATATTATAATTAGGTATTTTGTTTTAAGCATATATTCATCATAAAAATCAAAAGAAAGTAGGCCTAAATTATAGATAAAATATATACCTATATAAAATATGTAGATAAGATGTAATTGTGTAAATATTTTTACTTTGTTTTATCAACAACAACCTTGTTTTAAAATTGTATTTTACAATAATGGAAAACTTATTAGGTATAATATTAAAAATCTTTTGAGATTTGTTCTCAACATTCAATCCTGTAAATATGTTACTAAATATGTGTATACATTAAACATTTGTTTAATAATTTAGCATACAAGCCTATAACCAGTATTTTAATATTGACTTACTTTTAAATTTCTTGGATTTGATCATATTTAAGTATTTCGTGAACTTTGTTAATTTTAGGTAAAGTATAATTGGAATTCTACAATAGTATGTAAAAGTTTAAATATTTTGGCATCAATATTTTTCTATATGTATTTAAACTACGTAATATATAAATATATTTAAAACTGTAATTTAATAAAACATTATGACATTTAAGTAATAGATAACATTATTCGAGTGTTGAGTTAAGCTAGTAGTTAACACCTCAGAAAGTTAGATAATTAGAACAAAAAAAAAAATTATAACCACAAAATGAATTAATTCCGTAACAATACCAATAAATAACTAATCTTATAATAAACAATATTATAACTATACACTAAACTGAGTTATACTAGAATAGGTACATTCGATTTTCAATATTGCTAATAGTACGTATGTATATGAAAGTATTTTTTATCATAATGTAATGTATGTTTATAATTTATAACCGTTAAAATATATTGATATTTAAAATTAAGGTTGGTCACATTGCGTCCACATATTATGATTAATAATAATGAACTCGGTCTTATCTTATATCTTTTAAGAGGGTGTGTTTATAACACAGATAAATTCTGTGGACCAACACCGTTGTTATTTTGTTGTTATCAAAAATTAAATTGTTATCATAAATATTTTGGTTTTGAGTATATCAATACCAATTAAATAAAAGAAACAATATTTAAGACGCTAAGACTGTCAGGCTAAAAGGAACATTTATTATAAAATAACAACGATTATAAACAACATAGTTATAGTTATAGGTTATCGCAAAACGCGTGTAGAGCGAAAAACCTACGAGCGACTGGACGGGCGAAGGTAATGCTCGTGGAGGCCGACGACGATCGACGCATGCGACCGTATATAATGTGAAAGGAGGGGGACACGCAGCTGACGCGTTACCGCGGTTATTAACAACAATATTGTGGGTCGCCATAATAAAATTTTATCATCAATTATAAATTTATAATAAACGAATTACATTATTTTATTTGTTACAATGTAATATTAAGATTAGTGATGGGCATAATCGTGTGAAAATAATCGAGTTACTCGATTGTTGATAATAATCGAGATATCTCGATTATGTTACCGAGTGATTTTTCATTCGAACTAAAGTAACTCGAGTACTCGTCACTCGGGTACCTTATTCGAAACTTTATTTTTAGAATCCTAAGTCCAAAACTCCGAATACGTAAATAATTGAATGAATAATATTAGTCATTACTCGATATAAATAAATATTGTTTCATTTTGTACTCCTTAGCACGCGTTAACAGTCGACACTGTTCACTAACTGTTCATTATTCTATAGTTCCTTACCTATTTATTAAAAATTATTTATTTTTAAAATTTAAAAATGAGGCCGGATAATAAACAACGTTCAACAGTACAGGAACACTTAAGAAAAATTGCTATTCGGAACGAGTATTTTCAAAAACAGGGCAAATAACTAACGACCGTCGAAGCAGATTAACTTCTAAAAATTTAGATTATATAATTTTTTTAAATAGTAATTTAAATTTGTTTAATTAATTATAATTGTTAAATTTATTAGTAACTATTATTAATGGTCTAAAATAATTTGCCAGATTAACGTTTAAATAAAAAAATAAAAATGAGATTGATTTATGCATATTTTTATTTCTATTGATAATTTTAACTATTACGAATACCGACTAATAACAAACTTATATTATTCCTAGTTATCATATTAATTGAACATTTTGCGTTATTATATCGATTGATATCTCGATAATGAAAATATATCGATCACCTGCTATTCAAGTAATAACTAAAATTACTAATATCAATTGAAAATTTCGAGTAATAACTCGATTATAACAATATATCGATTACTAATAACTCGATTATAGAAATAATTTGATTATGCCCATCACTAATTAAGATTTAAATTACACATATCTTTAGATTTGTGATGAGATCCATTTACACATTCAAAATAAATGTGCTCTGTAATTAAAAATGGACAGCCCATAAATTTAATTAGCAACTTCACGTTCAAGCGAAAATTTGTACTTAGATTTTTCTCCTGTCACGCAACGCATTTTAATATTATTGGTTCATATTTTAAAAATTCAATAAATAAGTATCTAAACATTCATACTTATTTTAATAAATTACCTTCATATTTCACCGACTTTGCCACAACATAGCCAAAACCTAATTCCGATAAACGTGTAGTAAATAAATTTAAATCATTATTTTCTCCTTGAAGAGAGATATTATTCACTATATATGAATTTTCTAGCATATGTTCCAGACTGTTGAAATATCTATTATCTTCCATTTTAACAAAAATAATAATTTAAAAAACGACACCAACGATAATTAAAAAAAAAAAAAACTATAAAAAGTTATTTAATCAAAAAACTAAGTTTCATTAAATTAGTATGTATGTCACATTGGTACAAATAATACAAAAAAGTGGAATAACCTATTCATATCAAGTTATCTTCACTTATATAGTTATGTAAATTATATATACAAATTGTATATTATTTTTTGTTTTTTGATACACAGCTACACTGACTACATAATAATTATTAAATCAACTAGGATAATCTAAAATAGTTTTAAAAGCGTTAGAAGCTTTTAAAAAGTGTTTTAATTAAAGAGTTAACTAATGTATTGTTTAGGCACCTATATAAAATTTTTAAATTTTTTTTAGTACTATTATTACTTAACTATTAATTTTAATTACAGGTCACATCAATGTTCCTTTACATATCTATTCTTATAATAAAAAATGAAGTACATCTAAATTATAAATAAATAAATACAAGGAAAACAATAAATATTGAGAACAACTTGACTGCCTACATTATTTAACAATACAGTTTTGAATTTATATCTTAATATTACATTGTAACTAATAAAATAATGTAATTAATTTAGTATAAATTTATAATTGATGATAAAATTATATTTATGATAACAATTTTATTTTTGATAACAACAAAATGATAACGGTGGTGGTCTATTCGACTGCGTGTACCATAGATTTCTATATAATACATATATATTATGATGAAGGTTACATTAGCAATAATGGACTAGTTGTGATAAGAAAATTTCAGTGGTTTTCAAAGATTATTGCTAAGTTAATACTTTTTATTGCCAACTAATTATCGTATCCTATAAAATCAGTGTAACCACCACATTAATGTATACTTTTATTGCTACGTTTATAAAGATGATACCTCAGTTCTTCCGGATTGATAAGAAATATAAGAATTTTCTAATTTTTTTCCAAAATTAATAATCATCAGTTACATATCACAATAAAAAATAAAACCATATTTGCCTCTAAATATGATTTAAAAACCCATATACTATTCCTACAACTAAATTAGATCATTAATTTGAGTCGTCTAGCTTTGACAGTTTGGCACTATTGGAATACTTACCTATAACCATAGCATCCGTTATATTTACACGAATATCTATGAATGGATAATATATCAAGCCTGTGAGCCATAATATGTATTAAAAAACTTGAAATATTTAAGAAAAAAAATTAGTATTTAACGTTACTTTTAATTACTCATTAATAATTATTTGTCTTATTGTTGTCTTCTTCAAAACAATTGGATAGAACGTACACTTGGAGATTTTCAAATTTGGTTATACGATGGTTAGGTTTCAATTTCTACTGGTAATGGCTGAAGTTGCATTCAACATCAACTTAGGTTAATGGGGCATATTCATACCACATATATTAGGTGGTGTTACTTCGATATTATCTAAAGTGTTGCCATGTTTATTCATAGTTATATCTCTAACATATTTCAATTGCTTGTAAACCAACGTTATCACTGAGGGCGTAGACCGTTTGGGCGAATCGACCCAAAATATAGTCCGTTTGGGCGAATAACTTATACCGTTTGGGCGAATAGATATATACCATTTGAAAATATGAATAATTAATAATAATAAGTTAAAAATCACATAAAATATAAATAATTGATCAAAAATCATATTAAGTATAGTTATAGTACAGTTTAAAGTAATTTATTAGCCTGATATTTTAAACATAAACATTTTATGCATTGTAATTGGCTAATGTTCACTTTTTCATATTTATTCTATGTTTCTTGCACAAACTCTTTTTTTTTTTTTTATAGTTTCTTTTCGTTGAGCGTTAAGGATATTTTTTGAAATGGAATTGATTTTAATCATATTTTCAGTTTGGATTTCTAATAATACTGCAATGACTTGATGTAAATGAGGGTGTGGTGTGTAAAATTATTTGTTAAAGTGAGAATGAAATGATTCTGGTCCATTTGTGGTTCTGGGATGGTCAAATATTGGTGATGAAGCCCACAAATGAGGGGAGAACTCTGAGTTTTCGTCTATGTAGGTTTCAAGACATTATGGACAAATTGTACACATTCATATAATTGATAACAACTCAGTAAACGCATCTCCTACTTCGGTTAGTGGCAAAAATAATAGACCGAAAAAAAATTTGAGCCCCAATCCGACTTCAGAATCTTTAATTAAATACGCTTTCCATAAGTTTTTATGTTTTACTATTTGCCTATACCAACTTTGGCCTAAGTGAAATGTACATGTTATTAACTGACAGTTAGGAAATGTTTGCGTTGTAGCTAAATATGCAGCTTTTTCAAAATCCGAATGAAATAAATCTACTTGAAGAATTTTGCCAATTAATTCATTACATAACTTAGATATTTCAAACCACATATTCAAATAATTGTTTTTTGATCTTGATGTTAAAAATATATATGCTACTGGTACATAATAATTGTAAGTATAGATATGTAATGTACATAGTTGACAAAAAAACTTGGGACAATACGAAAATGTTCCGTTTCCAAAGACATTTTTAGATTTACACAGGAGTTGTAAATTGACAAAAGTTATAATAACAATTGACATTTGTTGATTTACAAAATAAAATTGCTGATCCTTGTATTTTATTGTTGATTGCATATCATATAATTGATCAAATGACTCTTTTTGCGATTTTGGTAATATTGGGTACTGTTGTTTACGACTACGATAAATTGATCGCCTAATTAAATTAATATCAGAATAGTTAAGTACATCCTGAAGTCCTGACTTATCTACTAATAATTCTTTCCTAATAATTTTATTAGGTTTTTCATGTATTTGTTCAGTAGCTTTTATTATAAAAGAACTTCGAATTATATCTATAGTTAAAGATCTTTTTGTACTCGGCTTATGATTATGTAAATGTGTTGTCATCTCTAATAT